TGTGAACTTGTGAGAGGGCATCTCTTTTCTTAAGTTGATTAGTTTCTTTTCACCCATTGTTCCTGGTTTTCCTTGATTCGTATTTCAACTTATAATCGGCATTTCATTGAGCCAGTTCTGAACAAAGGGTGTTGTTATTGAATGTATTGAGGCTTGAGATGCTTAGAATGGCCTATGTCTCAGAGGTATCTGGTCTACTTGGTTCAGCATGCTGAGTGCTCTCCGACTTTAATTATTGTGACGTTCAGTCTAGGCAGGAGAAGATATCAAAAAAAAAAAAAAAAGATCTCTCCGAAACCTCAACCTCCTTAAGGATCTTGTAATGCTTGTTCTTGGTCATAGGCCTTGGCCTACTTGGTCACGTAGGATACAACTATATTGGAGATTCCACATTTACCCATATAATATTTCCAGGTGCTAGTAATATGTTTTGCCATGTGCAGCAGAAGTATTTTTTTTCTCAATTTTCAACTAACACAATTGCTTGATGTCCAAGACGTATAGTTTCTTCTTTTATAATGGTTGTATCTTCCAGTGTACTTCCAAGTGTTGTCCCAGAAGAATAGCCTTTTATGCAATCCCTCTCACTTGTGTTTTCTTTCCTTCCTTAGGGGTTGTTTGGTAGGTGGCTAGGAAGTAAGTTATACTATGTTTGGTGGCAGTATTCTACTATGTATAAAATTAATAGGTGTTTGGTTTGGAACTTAGAAACTAACATGTATAAGTTATGAGGGAATCTATGCATAGTTTTAATGTCTGGGGTTGGATAGATTCTTGATATTCCATCATGAAGCTTTTCATCTGTTCTTGATTTTTTGTATGCTTGCATGGTCATCCCCAAATTGAAGATGTGTAATTTAACTTGATCATTGCAAATCTTTTAGCTTTGCGGTTGGAGTGTTAGAGATCCAAATTGTTTCTTATGTGGATTCAGTTATGGTATCAAGAGTGGATGATTTAGCTCATTAATGGAAGCTGTTATAAATCTGGGCGAGTGATGATGATATTCCCATCGCCACTGTTTAGCTCCTCCTCACTTATTTGCAAAAATGAGTTTGGAACTTGTCATGTGTTTCTTACATAGTAAGAAGCTGGAATGATGTTCGATATTGTGGTATTTGCTATGATATTGTACCCATGTGTTTCTTACATCTACTACATATAGGGGATTCATAATTAACTTCACTCTCCAAACACCTATATATATGAATTAGATAAACAAAACTTTTGAGGCCCGAGAATAACTTTCCTCAAAGAGATATTATTGGTATATTACATGGTATGTTGCCTAGACTTTTTTAAAATGTTGACAGGTGTGTGTCAAAATTTTCAAAATAGTTGGAAATGACAATATTTTTGAACAGTTTGAACAACATATATTATTTAAGGAAATGCAATAAAGCCACTGTATGGCTCCCTACAAAAACAACTATATTCTCAAAGGTACTCACCACTTTTACAACTCAGAAATCCTTGTAAATCTCATCATTCTTTTGTGTATTCACCACAAAATTAGGAAATGCAACTGTGATATCTCTGCAAAATAAATAACAAAACTTATCTTGTGAATTCTCTAAAATGACCAAAAATTTTATAAACCAACTAAAAGTGGAGTCTACTCACTACTTTTTTATCTTGTTTTTTTAATAGACACTTCATGAAGTTTCAAATTTCATGGGTAAAATTCTAAGACAATTTAAGACACGTTAATCAACTAGATTTTTTGCTAGTGTTATTGAAAGAACACCTTTGTTTGTCATATTTGATTTGAAAATCCTATCATTTTCTTGATGTTATAGAATTTCAAGTTTGAAATGAAAAAAAAGGGCTAGCCGGCCTCAGCTCACAACCCTTCTAGGATTGGGTTGAGATGAGTATTTACGAGCCTTCCAAATGAAGGACAGGGCCGCCTAGCACATCAAATTCTTTGACCCGTGAGTCTTGGGTCGGGTTGAGTTGGGTTGACTCTTTTTGACAACTCTAGTTATTTAATTGTCACACTTATATAATAAGAGAATACGATCAATTAAATTTGAATTAGTTTTTCTGATATTTTTTAATTCAAGTAACTAAATATTGTAATATTTTATGTTCTGGACTTTATAATTAAAAATTTAAAACGATAACTTTGTCGAGGGAGAAATTAATTGCAGTTATCATACAGAAATAACTTTGTCTTTCCATTGAGAAATTAATTGCAGTTATCATACAGAAATAACTTTGTCTTTCCTTTGTGATAAAGTTAAGTGAGACATTTTTTTTAATGAGTTGTTAGTTAAATTTACATAATATGACAATCAAAATATATACTAAAAAAAAAGTACTAAATTATATATCATATTTATTAAGAATTTGACTATAATCTATATTATAGTCAAACTGCATTATTGACTATTATCTAAATGCTTTATCTGATTAATTATTTTTTATGTGTTGTTAGTTAAATTTTCATAATATGACTAATAAATTATATATTATATTTATTAATAGTTTGACTATAATCTATTGATTATAATTTAAATGTTTTTATTTCATTAATTAATGTTTTTGAGTTGTTAGTTAAATTTACATAATATGAAAATCAAAATATATTAATAGTTTGACTATAATAAATATTACAGCCAAATTATATTATTGACTATAAGTTTGATATTATTAATCTAAATGTTTTATGTGATTAATTATAGTCTAATATGTCTTAAATTATAGTTGAAATTTTGATTATAAATAGCACTGTTTTTCTTCCATCAAGTACCTAAGACACAAAATAAAATAATATTCCATTGAGGAAAAAATAATATTAGAAATGATGAACTTCACAAAAGTAATATTGACAATTTTTTTAATTGTGAATGTTTTAACAAATGTTGAAGCTGTTGGTGAGGAAAAAATGTCTTGCTCAGCAAAATGCTTTATTCATTGTGCAAGTAAAGGTAGGGCTAACGGGGATTGCTATAGTGACTGTATGAAAAAATGTCAGGGAGGTCACGTTTCTGCTCAAGAATTTAAGGTATAATTTTATTTTACTAACTTTTTTTAGTTAGGTTGGTATCACATTATTTATGACATTTATTTTGATTAATTTTATGCAGATTCAAAGCTAATGAAGAGATGCGTGTTGTTTTTGCAAAAGCATAAGTCATAAAAGAACATTAGGATGAATATTTATATTATATATCTTATTGCTCTAAATGTACTGATTGATATTTTCATATAATGAAATGGAAGAAATATTTTTGAAATTTCATCTTTTTATTGATCAGTCCTCGTTTCATAAAGTTGCAAAAAAGATAAGTAATTATGTCCATTTGTCAAGCAATAAATTAGCCTCATAAATAATATTGGTTATGTGACACACAAAATAAAAAATTTCGATAAATAATGTGACTCAATAAACATTATTGTATAAGTTGTCAATTGGATTTACACAATATGACCATTAAAATATGTAATATGAATTATGGATGGGCACCCCCCCCCCCCAAAAAAAAAAAAAAAGTGGAAGGTTAACCATAAAGATAAAAAGTATTAAAAAAAAAACTTAGAATCATAATTTTTGAGGGCAAATTAATAACAAATAAATATCTTTAATTTTCCCTTGGAAAATATTAAGAAACATTACTGTATAAGTTGTAATTTGATTTACGGAATATGACAATTATGAGTATGTTTGACATTGTTGTTAGAGGACCAAAATCACTTATTTTGAGTAAAAAGTATATATTTTGAAAAATAAGGTGTTTAACTAACCAGTAAAACTCTTTTTTTAAATGAAGTAGAAAGAGTTTTCCTACTATCAGAAAGAAACTAAAAATTTATGTTTCTTAAAAAAAAATAGCAGAAGCAGAAAATTATTTATTCAAACCCAAAATATCCTTGTCATATTTAAATATTTACAAATATATCACTTATATTTATTTTTATTTTTTTATGATGAGTTTTTCGAATAAGTTATTTTTAAATTTATTTTGCTTGATATTTTTTATTATATTTAAATCATCATGTCAATGATATATCAATATTTAATTTATTTATTTTCATCTATGTATAATATTGATTGAAAAATTGAATATGTACATTTTAATTTAATAAAAAATATTAATTTATTTTTTTTATAATAGATATTTAAAATAATATTAATATTAAAAGTGCATTGATACTTGTCCTTTTACGTAATTTGACTCTCAAAAATATTGATTAAAAAATTTAGTCAAACACAATTTGTTTATCAAAGAACTTTTCAAATGAATTAACCAAACACAAATATTTGTTCCAAAAGTACTTTTCTTAAAAGTTTTTTTGAAAGTGCTTCTAAAAATAAAAATAAAAATATTTTTTTAGCAACAACCACAAAATAAATAAATTATGGAAGGTTAACCCCAAAATAAATAAATTAAAAATCATGGAAGGTATTTACAAGTTTGACTATAATTTAATTTTCTTAACCATATTATAATACTTATTAATTCAAATGAAAACTTTGGCAATAAATAGCGTTATTTTTGCATTTTCATTATTTTTTTATGTTTGTTGGTTATTATTAATTGTATATCAAGGATGACACTAGGATTTTCCACTAAAGAATCACTAAAAGTAATTGAGAGCTAACATTTTTTATTAAATATATGAAAAATGTAGTTAAAACAAACAAACAGAAATAGATAAAGTATCGGAAAAGCACATAAATTGCTCACAACTTTGAATTGATGACTCGCCATGGAGAACGGAGGAGCAGATAAAGTGCACCCATGAATTTTTGTGGTGCTTGGTCAATATCGTTACAGTTTACCGTTCGTTTTTTTTTATCTTTGCAGATGGAAATTGGCCTAACACCTGTAACTCCTTCTGTCCTATATAACTCATTGCCTTCAACTTCTTCATTGTCCTCATCCTTATTAATTTGCACAGTTTTTTCTCTTTAAAAAACTACTGCAAATACTGAAGGATCATTATTCTTTCAAACTTTTTACATCAAAAAAATCTAAAAAGGAAAAAAAGAAAATACCCAAAAAAAAAGTAAAAATGGCTCGTCAAGTTATTGTTTTGGCTCTGGTATTTGTTGCCATTGCTGGATTTGCTTCGGCAGATAATTCCCCAAGCAGCTCCCCTGCTGCATCCCCGTCTTCAACCCCATCAGCAACATCGCCATCAACATCCCCCGCAACATCACCATCCACATCAGCAACATCACCCGCATCATCACCATCTACATCTACTCCAGCAGCAGCTTCACCAAACAGCAGTAGTGCCAATGCACCTGCTGCCGCAGCCACCACCCCATCATCCTCTGACTCATCTCCTAAGGCAAGTACCCCATCATCATCATCATCGTCATCCCCATCATCATCATCAGCATCATCTCCTAAATCTTCAAATTCCGGTTCTGTCCCTTCCTCCTCTTCTCCAACTTCAAGTGCGGAAACTCCTGAAGAGGAACCCGCATCACCACCATCTCCCGACAGTGAAACTGCTACCACACCCACTACCTCTACCGCTCCCGCCGCTGCTACACCTGCTGAGGCACCCGCCGCCGACGCCAGTGGCGCAACTACATTGAAGGCTGTCTCCTCTGTTTTTGCTGCTGCAGTCGCTGCCGCATTCTTCTTCTAATTGATTCATTAATCAATACTTACTATTTTTTAAAATTCTGTGAAATTAATTTTCCACAGAAGGAAATTTATTACTTAAAAAACAGAGAGAACAGCTAACGAATTTGTTGATTTAGTGACATGTACTTGTAACTTCCATCATGTATATTTTGTTGTTTTAATTTGCTTTAATAAAATGATCAAATGAAAAGATCTGATTGCTTGAATAAATATTTTATTTGCCTTGTTTTCTTTTTTCCATTCACTACCACTTCTCCATGATGGGCTCGATTAAATTCCAAATTAACACTAGAAAATTTCATATTAATAAGATAGTAGTTTATTTAGTTAACTAATTTGATGCCTACAATTCCAGCAGAGGAATAGTTATTAATTGCTAAGTGACTCAATTGTCAAAAAAATGGACTTATCAATAATGTCTTAAATTCCTTAGTTTGTAGCATAGGGTCATTTCCATGATTGACGGAAAAAGCTCCTAAGAAGAGTGGAAAAAAGGTAAGTGTATTGACCAATCAATTTCTTCCACCTTGAATAGACAACTGAAGCAGTCGTAAAAATCCCATGCATGTTCACATTAAATATCGGATCTTACCCAAATAACGAGAAAATAACAAAAATAGACCCTTATATCTGTGATATATGCAAAATAATTTCTAAAATATGATCTCAACTGTTTTGATCCTTTGAAGATCTCCGTCAAAAAATAAAAAAATTCAGTGGGAATTCACATTTCGAAGGTAATATTATTTTTAGCAGTTTCAACTATTTTTGCTCTATTTCTAGAGTTTGCTATAACTTTTCTTATGTGCACAATATGTGCTATGTTTAGTATATTTTTGTAGTGTCTAGTACAATTTTTTAGATTGATGAAACTTTCCTGGTGCGATATATAGGCAGATGCGACGTATATTTAAATTGAATCCAATAGTTTGGCCAAAAATATAAATTTTTATATGTAAATAAAATATAATCAATGTGTTGAACAGAATTAAGACTACTCCTATAAAAGTTAAACTCATCAAATATGAATTCAGGATCAGCATTTGTATAGATCATGCATTTGTGGAAGACTATATATAAAAGGTCGTTAAGCATCCTAAAAATCATGATATTATCAGTGAACATTTAGTTGCTGTTTAATTTTAACCATTTCCTCGTCGGTTTGAAATTTGAAAATAATAAAATTCAAACTTTGGAACATGACTATAGTAATAATAATATTGATAAAATGCAAACTAAGTTATAAAGTTTATCTTGATTTGCTAGTCTGGACAAGTAAATAAGTTAAAATAAAGGAAGATAGTAACACATTAGGGAAAACCCAAGATAGTCACTATATCAAGGAACAAACAAACGTCCAAAGGACAATAATTAGTAGTAATAGTCTGTCCTCGAAAAATTTAGAAAAAGAAAACGATTGAAATATAAGTTTTGCGAAATGGTCTCCATATATTTTCCGTACCATTTTCAGCTTAATTAAAACACTACTTCTTTCACTATCGTCATCTAGTAATCGTAAGTTCTCCCTTGTAAAATAAATTTAGTGGCCATTTACTAGCAGCGGGAGCCTTTTTTGCAGTTAATAGGACCGGCATTTGTGGTGATTGATCCAACTAAAGAAGAAGGCCTAGCGCTTAAGCTTGAAGCTCTGGCATAAGTAGATGATGATGCACCTGCCCCTGTTTGCCTGAAATACGCTCCATTTAACATCAAATCACCTTCTGATCTCCAGTTCCAGCTTCTCCACTGACTTTCTGGTGCATCCTCATGCTTTGTCACCTGTTAAATTTCAACTATTTAGTGTAATCTTATTACATTTCAAATTCTAGTGTAAAAGATAACGACGTACAAGCCTAAAAAAAAGAGTAAAATTAGCACATTGGGAAATAGTATAGGTCAGCGCCGAGCCAAAAATTTGTACAAGTGGATTCAAAAGTAGCAATGTTCAAACCCTTTTACTAGAATTTTCTGTTTTATATCACGAGAATTCAATACTACTTTTAGTATAAGTAACAATTTTCTTTTAAATTTATTTGTATGGTATTATTATTTTTCAACTAACGTTTAAAAATCATGGGTCAAAGAAAAATTATTTCTCTATATGAGATAAAGTAATTTAATGTTCAGTGTTGAATTGAAATACCTCTTTGCGGTATTTTTCATAGGGAGCAAGAAACCTATTGCCTTGGCTATTAATAGTAGGTGCAGCACTACCACCAATGGCATACATTTCCCAGTGAGTATAGTCATTATTGACCACATGGAAATAACCATGTCTACACCTTGGCATTCTTTGCACCAACCCTTCACCAAAATGATTAAAAGCAACTGTGACTTGCATGCCTTGGTCCTGTGTAAAAGAATCACTATGTCCCAACAACATCACCTTATCATGATGAGTAAAATAGTTGTTAGAAATCGTGATTGCTGTAGATCCATGAATTGCATCAATTAAACCATCGTGGCAATTAGACAAAGAACAATGGTCCACCCAAATATTCTTCCCTCCGAAAATTGATATACCGTCACCGTCAGAAACATCCCACCATCCGGAATGGTTTGGTGAGTCCCTAATGTTGCCGTTACCACTCTGTTTACAATCGTGTATATTAATCCCGTGTATTATAATGTTACTGGTGTGGTGGATTGTAATGCACGGACCACCTGAAACAATAGTAATCGCAAAATATAACATATATGAATTTTAGAAAAGAATGAAATTTTAATTCTGGATCTGCCTCTGACCTGAAATGTGAACACTCGCGCCACGACCATCTATGGTTTTATAAGAGTTCATGACGAGCTCTTGTTTGAGCTGAATGACCATATCCCTTTTGAAAATGATCCATAAAGGCTCGTCTTGTATAACAGCATGTCTTAGAGTTCCGGGTTTGGGGTTCACGGGGTCATCGTTCCCTGAATCAGTAACCACGTAAATTCGGCCATTTTTTCCTCCAATGGCATTCTTTCCAAAGCCAATGGCGCAATCAGCTAATCGCTGGCGATTTTTCTCCCAATTGGGGTTGCATCGCCAGCAATCGTCGATTGGATTCCCTGATCCGCACGATAAATATCCCAAATTCCTTCTCGTCAATGACGCATTGATGCTCCTGTTCAAAATAACAAAAAATAGTTAATACCAATAAATTGAATAAAAATAGAAGTCGTCACTACTCACGAGTGGTTTTTGTGTTACCTATGAACGTCTTGTACAACAAGTTCTGGGTCTTGGATAGAACTAATTACGAGTAGTGGGGCTAGAAGAAGGAGGGAAAATGTTAAGAGAAAAGTAGACATATTTTTAATGGGGGTAAAGCAGAGTCTGCCCTGTAGATAGAAAAGAATATATTGTGTTGAGGTGAGGTGAGTAAATAATGAAGAAAAGGAGGAGGGGTTTATAAAGGAAGAAAATACCCGGGATGAATGGCGTGATTAAACTAGAGGTGGGCCTCAATTGATTCATAATTTCTGATGATGTTCTTTTGGATTCCCACTTGGTAGTTTTGATCGTTAGGTTAGTTTCTAGTTTCTACATTAATAATGTACCCCATCCCTACTAAATTTATTGTTATATTTCGTTTTTCTACAGTTAATTTTGATAATCTTCAAAGTGAAAATGAATTTAGATCAACTTAATATTTTATAATTAAAATCTAGATATTCAAATATTCAAAAAGTATTCAATGTTACAACTCTTCTGATGTCAATTTGAGGAAATATAATACTGATCAATATTTATGTAGTTTTCTTCTCAAGAAATGAAACCTAACAATTAATTTGGAATGGAAAAATATATATATTTTTTAAAAAACAATACTCCAATCATAGGTATACCATTTAAATTTCCCACCAAAATTTAAACAGATGTAAAGAATATTTTATATTTATTCATCTAATGGTAATGCATTAATATAGTAATGGAGTATTCTATGTTTGCCTTCCCACCCCATTGAAAAAGAGATGCATAAGACTAATTAAAAGATTAGCAGTAGAAAGTAGAAATAACACTGCATGTGATTACGGCGCCCATAATGATAATTGGTAAACGGGAAACTTGTTTAAGCGGCGTGCTTTGTTGTAACCTCATGCCATTAATCAACAATAATTAAATCTATTCAGTGTCGCATTATAAAAATTTCTACGTACTGAATGTGATTTAACCGATTTCAAAAGGTTATAACACCATTTAAATTATCACTTCCCCATCACAAAATATTTGTTATATTTCACTTTTTGAGAGTTAAATTAATTAATTTCAAAAGTTACATTGAAGTAGTTTAGCTCAATATTTTAAATATTAATAATTAAAATTCATACAGTTTCATTCTTGGGAATAACAATATGAAAAATATTTTAAAACGGAAGAATTATAATATCTACGATCTACACTAAGTATAGACAAGTACCTCTAGGTGGTCTTAAATGACGTGGGTAAAATAAATATTGTTTACATTATGAGGGAATTAAAAAATTCGTCATTTTTATTTATATGTCATTATTTTTTATTTCATGTGCAAGAAGAAATTAAGTACATTTACTATATTATCCTTATTAATTTTTTTAAGTCAACTTTTTAATAAATAAATATGAATTAATTTGACGAATCAACATAAATTATTCATTTAGTTTTCTATGTTGTTTAAATGCATATTTTCAAAACTAATAACTTATAAGGATAAAATTGGAAGAATATTGTAATTTATACATTGATTTTATGAAATGCAATATATTATGGACCAACTAATGAAATATAAAAAGAAATGGAGGGAATAAGAGCCGGTTTGGATTGGCTTAAAAAAGGTAGGTTTTAAGTCAAAAAACAAAAAGTCAAACTTAAATGACTTTTTAAGCAAAAAATAAAAAGTAGGGGAAGACCTATTTTTGATTTTTAACTTTTTTAAAGTCATTTTAAACTTATTGTAAGTTATTTTTAACCTTGTTAAACACTTCTAAAGGCTAAAAATGACTTAAAAATAGATTTGACCAACTTTTAAGCCAATTCAAACATGCTCTAAGAAGTCTTGGGAAACCGATCGATTTGTTACTAGAAAATAAATGCCAATAAAGTCAGTTGTCATGCTCTTATCATTGTAACATTAATTAGATGATGAAGTGATTTCTGATTTGGTTAAGAAGAATGTGGCAACACAATATGCATGAAAACTAATTAATATTCTATACTTTGTGACAGTGTCCAAATATTTGTCAACATATTAATTCTATGAATTCTTTACATATATTTTCCTCACAAAACAAGAAGTCAAAAGAGAACAGTAACTCTCTTTTTTTCAAGTATATTTTT